GGTAACACTTCTGTGTTTCTGTGGATGTGTGTTGTTTCATGTGATTAACAGGACTGTGTGGTGATTAAACTAAAACTAAATATCTAAAACTATGTCAACATTATCTAGTTGAACATTGACCAGATAGGGTTAAAAATAAATGAATCTCTGCCTATTTTACAACCCTAAAGGGGGTGTGGTGAAAGTTTCCCATTACTCTGAACTGAATAAATTAAATTATTCACTCGCTGCTTCACACTTGGTAAGATACAATGCCACAAACATTTTATTGACACTAATATAATTATTTGATTAGTTAATGTGCAGTTAATATTGTTTAATTTCACTGTTGTTCTTAAAAAAATTGTCTGTTATTTTATGCAAATATTTGCAGAGGCTGTATGTTGTAGACGATCACATTCAGAAGCTACTGTCAGTGTTTGGCAGGTTGATTTCACTATGTACATTTTGACATAGGATACACTAGTGATGATGCAACAGGGTCATATGCATACAAGAATTGGAGGCCTATAGTATAGTACTATCTACTGTGTAGTAAATACACAAAGGATTACATAGGAACAATAATGGACCACTACGTTTTATGCTTAGGTTCCCTTGTCAAAAAGAAGAGTAATTAATTGTATTGAATGTGCACAAGTAGTGTACTTAAAATCTTAAATGTATATTTAAAAAAACAGTATCTTGCAGGTAATAAATATTGATAAATAAAAGGCAGTGTACTTAAAGAGAGTAAATTTAAGTAAATGTATCAAATTAAATGTTTTACTTAAAATCATTGTTTAATAAACAATTTGTTTCATATGCTTTTGTCATGCTTCAATGAAGTACTTATCTTGATGTGTTGACTAACATAGTAAAGCACATGTAAAGATTATAATTTGAACTGTAGTGTTATTCAATATTATGTTTAAAGTTAATATATTTTAAAAGTACTAAACTGCAACTAAATCGTTACAAATGTGTAATTACAAATATATTTAAATACATGACTGTAACATGGAGGCATGACACGAAGTGATGAATCCAAATGTAGGCTTTATTTGAGCAAAATGTAGTCAGACAGGCAGGGTTGAAACAACAGCAAACAATAGTAATCCAAGGCAGAGGCAAAATAGTAATCCATAAAACAGGCGAAGGTCAGGGCAGGCAGCAAACGATCACAAAACAGATTAAAAGTCCAAGATCAAAAACACAAAAGGCAAGGCAAGGCAGATGACAAGAAACATTACAGGCTAAACAATCACCAGCAGAGTATGTGTGTGTGCAATTCTTATAGTCGTCCTAATAGGAACAGCTGTGAACTGATGAGTCCAAGCAAAGGATTATGGGAAATGGAGCCCGGGTTGATTGGTAAAGGGTACGGGATGGCGTGCTCTCTAGCAGAGCTCGTGGGCACTCCAGTTAGAGATTGTGACAATGGCATACAAGTTTCTATTGAGAAGACATCAAATATAATTTAGTTTACCACAAATACTTGTCAGTACATTAAGCAGTACACTTTAACCAAATTTCAAAGACAGTATAAGTAATTATAAAATTAAATATAAAGATTTTTGTTTAACTTAAAAGTTAATTAAGTTAAACAAACTAAACAGTACATTGTGGTAACTTCTTATTAACAGCACTGTCATCATACACATATGCTCAAAGTAAAGCCTATATATACTATGATATATTTTTTTGTCTTTTTCTAGACACCAGTTAAATAGTTTTATACAGTATTTCACTGCTTTGGTCTATAGGAGGTAAAATCAACATATTCTCTACCACAGTTGAGATGTATGACATACTGTATAGAAACAAGTATAAATCTCATTATTTATTTCTACTTCCTGCATCTGCCTAAAGTCTGACTGTTTTGGATCATCATGGCTAAACGTGTTGCTGTGATTGGAGGAGGAACCTCTGGGCTGGCCTGCATCAAATGCTGCCTGGATGAAGGTCTGGAGCCAGTGTGCTTTGAGACTAGTGATGACATTGGAGGACTCTGGAGGTTTAAGGTGAGATATCTCTATATGATTGGGTCCGTTGAAGTTGTGCATGTGACGAAAAAAAGGGGGCCAAGCACTGATCCCTGAGGCACAGATTGTTGCAGAGAAGTAATAAACAACATGCTCCAAGAAATTGATCCAATTTTCTTCATGTCTTTCCATCTTAGGAAAATCCAGATCCAGATCGTGCTAGCATTTACCACTCTTTGATTATCAACACTTCAAAGGAGATGATGTGCTACAGTGATTTCCCCATTCCTGCACACTTTCCAAACTACATGCACCACTCCCTCATCATGGACTACTTCCGCATGTACGCTGACCACTTCCAACTCAAACGGCACATCCGCTTCCAGGTCAGAACTGAAAGGTTTTAATGACACATTAAAACTGTGAAGTTATGAATATACAGTACTGTATTTCAAGAATTCCCCAGTTTATGTTTTGTGTTTCCTAGACAAAAGTCCTTCATGTTACACCAAGGCCAGACTTCCTTTACTCTGGACAGTGGGATGTAGAGACAGAGTCCAAAGATGGTCGGAGAGAGAAGCAGGTGTTTGATGCTGTGATGGTTTGCACTGGACACCACTGTCACCCTCAGCTCCCTCTACAGGACTTTCCAGGTGCAGTACATGTGATGACTAAGCAAATAGAGTGTATGTGCAAAGTGCAACAACACTATGTCAATAAAGACTAAACAATCATAATAAACTTTGGTGTACAAGAGTCACTAGGCCTCATTCAAATCCTCTCTGTAGGAATAAACACGTTTAAGGGAAAATTCTTCCACAGCCGTGATTACAAAAACCCTGAAGAATGGCGAGGGAAGAGGGTAGTTGTGATTGGTATTGGGAACTCTGGAGGAGATATTGCTGTGGAGCTGAGCAGAATGGCCAAACAGGTGATATGCTACATCTACAGAATAAAAAAAATTATAGTGTGTGAATTATTTTACTTCTATTGAAGCCTCTGTTTTCCACATTGTTTCCCTTACTTTAATTCCAGGTTTATCTGAGCACCCGAAGGGGATCTTGGATACTAAATCGTGTAGGAGACAATGGTGTTCCAGCTGATATGTTATTTAATAAGAGAATGAGTAATTGGCTTATTCAAATGTTGCCTGTTGGATTTATCAACAATTTTGGAGAGAAACAACTCAATAAACGGTTCAACCACAAGCTCTATGGGCTGCAGCCTGCACACAGGTACTGTGAACGTTAGAAGAAATAAGACTCTGATTATGTTGGTCACTCTTAGTATTGGTACCTTAGCATGAAGAGGTCATCTTTATACAAGTAGAACAAGACAGAATCAATGAAAGCTTCTTTTCTGCAATCAATTACATTATATAATGTCTATTGTTTTTCCCCAGTGTTTTCAACCAACATCCCATGGTCAATGATGACTTACCAAACCGCATCCTCTCCGGTACTGTCTCAGTCAAGCCAAACGTTCAAGAGTTTCGTGGATCAAGTGTGATGTTTGAGGATGGCACTGTTGAAGAAGACATTGATCTGGTGGTGTTTGCCACGGGCTACACTTTCTCATTCCCCTTCCTGTCTTCACATGTAATTCCTGTCTCAAAGAACAAAGTATCCCTGTACAAATACGTATATCCCCCAGGACTGGAGCGGCCAACTTTAGCCGTGATTGGTCTGATCCAGCCTCTGGGAGCCATTATGCCCATCTCTTGATCTGGTGGTGTTTGCCACAGGCTACACTTTCTCATTCCCCTTCCTGTCTTCACATGTAATTCCTGTCTCAAAGAACAAAGTATCCCTGTACAAATACGTATATCCCCCAGGACTGGAGCGGCCAACTTTAGCCGTGATTGGTCTGATCCAGCCTCTGGGAGCCATTATGCCCATCTCAGAGATGCAGGCGCGCTGGGCCACTCGTGTTTTTAAAGGTATCAAACATGACGCTGACCGTCTACACAGAAAAATACAGGGTGTTCCTAATGTATATTTTCATCAGAATGTTGTAATACAGTTTTTCGTGAGGATTTTAGACCCTGTAGAATTAAACAAAGAACTTTAGACAATAATTTTGTTTTTTCATCATCATCAGTTTGGACGTTTGGACTGTTCTAAAAGTTATAGTATGACAACATACTGTAGTACTTGTACATGACCTATATGAATATGGCAGAACATTAGAACATTAGTGTTTTTGTACTTAAGCTGTGATATTCTCACTTAGGACTGTGCAAACTGCCTCCAGTGACTGGAATGATGAAGGACATTAAAGCAAAAGAGGAAGCTATGGCTCGAAGGTTCTTCACATTTGATTTAAAAAGGCTATATAAGACAGCACTTACACAATTTCTACAGTTAAAAGTATGTATAAAAGTAGTGGATCTTGATCTTAATCGTGTTCTCGTGCAGGTATGTGGCTGCCCAGAGACACACCATCCAGGTGGACTACATCCCCTACATGGATGAGTTGGCTAAACAAGTGGGTGTCCATCCTTCTATCCTGAAGTTGCTCCTGACAGACCCTAGACTGGCTCTGAATGTCATCTTTGGGCCCTGCACCCCGTACCAGTTTCGTCTTCATGGGCCGCGCCGATGGGAAGGTGCACGTCAGGCCATCCTGACTCAGTGGGATCGAGTCAAAGAGCCCCTGAGAACACGCTGTACACCAGAGCCGCAGTCACAGCGCTCCTCTCTTTCACTCATATTCTCAGTGTCTGTTGCAGCGCTGCTGTCTGCTCTGTATTACAGCAGAGCCAGTCTGCACACACTCATAGCAGACCCTTCATCACTCCTGGACAAGATCAGGGCTTTTTCACCATTGTCATTGACCACACAGTGATCATGTAATGTGAATCAGAAACATAACATTGCTGTATAAAATCTGGCAACACAAGTCAACTAGGCTAAACTGTAAAAATGATTCTTACATTTAGTGAATTTGCTGTAGTAATACTGACACTGATTTTTAGACTTGGAAGAATTATTTTGATTTATCAGCATTTTTTCTTGTGTTAACATTTTGAACAAAATTCCCATGGTCAATGATGACTTACCAAACCGCATCCTCTCCGGTACTGTCTCAGTCAAGCCAAACGTTCAAGAGTTTCGTGGATCAAGTGTGATGTTTGAGGATGGCACTGTTGAAGAAGACATTGATCTGGTGGTGTTTGCCACAGGCTACACTTTCTCATTCCCCTTCCTGTCTTCACATGTAATTCCTGTCTCAAAGAACAAAGTATCCCTGTACAAATACGTATATCCCCCAGGACTGGAGCGGCCAACTTTAGCCGTGATTGGTCTGATCCAGCCTCTGGGAGCCATTATGCCCATCTCAGAGATGCAGGCGCGCTGGGCCACTCGTGTTTTTAAAGGTATCAAACATGACGCTGACCGTCTACACAGAAAAATACAGGGTGTTCCTAATGTATATTTTCATCAGAATGTTGTAATACAGTTTTTCGTGAGGATTTTAGACCCTGTAGAATTAAACAAAGAACTTTAGACAATAATTTTGTTTTTTCATCATCATCAGTTTGGACTGGTTTTGAGTTCTGAAAGTTATAGTATGACAACATACTGTAGTACTTGTACATGACCTATATGAATATGGCAGAACATTACGTATACAGTGTTTTTGTACTTAAGCGGTGATATTCTCACTTAGGACTGTGCAAACTGCCTCCAATGACTGGAATGATGAAGGACATTAAAGCAAAAGAGGAAGCAATGGCTCGAAGGTTCTTCACATTTGATTTAAAAAGGCTATATAAGACAGCACTTACACAATTTCTACAGTTAAAAGTATGTATAAAAGTAGTGGATCTTGATCTTAATCGTGTTCTCGTGCAGGTATGTGGCTGCCCAGAGACACACCATCCAGGTGGACTACATCCCCTACATGGATGAGTTGGCTAAACAAGTGGGTGTCCATCCTTCTATCCTGAAGTTGCTCCTGACAGACCCTAGACTGGCTCTGAATGTCATCTTTGGGCCCTGCACCCCGTACCAGTTTCGTCTTCATGGGCCGCGCCGATGGGAAGGTGCACGTCAGGCCATCCTGACTCAGTGGGATCGAGTCAAAGAGCCCCTGAGAACACGCTGTACACCAGAGCCGCAGTCACAGCGCTCCTCTCTTTCACTCATATTCTCAGTGTCTGTTGCAGCGCTGCTGTCTGCTCTGTATTACAGCAGAGCCAGTCTGCACACACTCATAGCAGACCCTTCATCACTCCTGGACAAGATCAGGGCTTTTTCACCATTGTCATTGACCACACAGTGATCATGTAATGTGAATCAGAAACATAACATTGCTGTATAAAATCTGGCAACACAAGTCAACTAGGCTAAACTGTAAAAATGATTCTTACATTTAGTGAATTTGCTGTAGTAATACTGACACTGATTTTTAGACTTGGAAGAATTATTTTGATTTATCAGCATTTTTTCTTGTGTTAACATTTTGAACAAAATATACATTTTATTATAAAAGTGATTTTATGTGTAGTTTTGTATGTTATTGGTTTAATTGTTGAAAACCAGCATGCACTATCAAACTCTTGTATTCTTTTTATTGAGTTGCATTAAAGATGTATAACTTCCAGCTATTAATGCAATTTAAAAATGTAACAAATAAATTTAGTAAATATACAGTATTTGTAACTTACTGAGCATTAAATGAAAAGTATAAATATACTTTTTCAGCACTACAGACGTGATTTTTAACTATTGAGCATACTCGATTTGTTCCAAGTAATATCAAAATGTTACTGTATTATTATGAAGAAATTACCCTCTCAGTTGTAGTATCAATAAGAAAAATGTCAATAAAAATAACAGTACATTTTCGTGGAACAACGTTTAGTTTACTGAATCAATGCTCACACTCAATAATGTACATAAGTGCATCTCATTGTAAATTAATTTTTTATTGTATGTTGCGGTGTAGTAAGCCTAAAAAAGCGAGGTGTGCATGTTTATGTTTACTGCTGTAAATAAATGTATCGGCACATGACAGCAAATTTCTTGTGGCTAAGCAAGGATAGGCTATAAGGTCACTATTAGGACACTTACTACGTGAGAATAGTATTATTTTATAATTTTCTTATTATATAATTTTAATTTTATAGGCTATATTTTTCCACAACACTAATTTCTTAAAACATTTAATTTTCCATGGGAAAAAAGGGTATGGGTGAGTAAATGATGACAGAATATTATTATATTTTTTTTTTTGGTGAACTGCTCCTTAAAGATTATGAAAATCAAAATCAGTCAATGTCAAAAATGCAGAAATACCAACATTACAAATCTTAAATCTAATCACAATTTAGGCAGCTTTAATTCGCTCATGACAAAACGTGTACCTAGCTACATTTTACTTGGGAAACAAAGTAAAAATTCTCACAAACCATCTACACAAACTATTGCTGACTTTTATGATACTTTCATGATGCGTTTTTAGGCTTAAAATGCCCTGGTTGTATGAAAAAGACCACTGTCATCGTTCTGCCAAACTTTTGTGCTCCACAGAAGAAAGAAAGTCATCTGTTTGGTGGGGAAACTATTCCTTGAACGATATGTTATGAGAGATATATTATAATAGCTGAAACATCTACTCATAAAAGCTTTTTGTGGATAAATAATTTAAAAACTAAAGCCTGGGGTATTCATTAAAATTATAGTTTAAATAATTAAGTAAAAGAGGTTACATTAAAATATTACCTTGTATATATCCAGCTAGGCTAAAAGTTTTATTTGGATATTGATTGAGATATTTCTAAGAAAATAAGAATCAATTGTCCATCTCTTATGTAATTGTATACACAAAGGTTTTTTGGGGTGAATGTGGAAAATGTTCTATAAAGGTAAACAGATATCAAGATGAATCATTTTGATATATGTATAAAATTCCAATAAAAATAATTTTATTCTTTTGGGAAAATTCAGAAATATTCAGGATCCAACAGGAGACCAAGGACAACAGCACCTGTTTGGAGAACATTAATAAAAAATGTAATATATATTTAATGAATTTAGAATTTTTGATCAATGAATGATTGCTATGTACACTCTGGTACTTTTGTGTACACATTTGTATACTTTGTTCTAATAAAAATACGACAGTCAAGCTCCATCCAAAAAGTATGACTAGTACAGCAAGGAGTACAGCAAGGAGTATTTAAAGGGGTCCTATTATGCTCTTTTACAAAGTCTTGATTTTGTTTTGGGGGTGTACTAGAACATGCTCTCATGCTCGGTGGTTCGAAAAACGCATTATTTTTCACATAATTTACATTATTACAATACCTTTCTCCTCAGGCTGGCACAAACGGCTCGATTAGTTCCGGCTTTGATGAAGGTCCGCCTTCCGAAAAACAAAATGTGTTGTGATTGGTTAGAAATAAATGACTAATTTTGCCGGTAAAATATGATTGGTGTTGTTTGGAGAATTGTTTAGATTGGTGTTGTTTGGAGAATTGTTTAGTTTGTTAAATCTCACATTTGATGCATCCACACGACTTCAAACCGATAGTTATATTGTTGCATTTTAAATCTGAAAGGCATGTTCGAAGTGAAGGAAGGCAGTAGTTACCCAGTGTCCTCTGAGGTCGCCACTGGTGACTAGAGAAATTTACTAGGGATGCTCCGATCGATCGGCCGGAGATCGGTATCGGCCGATAATCACATTTTATGACTCGATCGGTTCTCACTACACTTGGCCGATCTCACGAACCGATCGCAATTTGATGACGTCAACGTGTGACGACGTACATGATACGTGGGGCCGTAAATGATGTGGCGCCGCAATCATGTCATCGCCGGTGTGGAAATGCTATGACGTTTCGAGAAACAATGAAAAAATTCGCTATTTGTCGTGTATGTTTTGCATGATGATATGAATGGATGGTTCATTTTTAACAGCAGATTCAGTGACGTTAGAGCTGATCTGCGCCTCACTGCACACGTCTGCGGTAGGGATGGGCGATATGGGCTTAAAAATATATCTAACTTCTGATATTTATTGCGATAATGATATCAATGACAATAATTTAGGGAATCCTGTTTCTTTAGAGAAAAGTATTATCTTTCCTATTTTTACCCAAAATAGGGTGTTGTGAGCATTACTGAGTACACACGTAATGTAATGACTCTTTAATTCATACTGGAAGCCGGAGGGCGCCCTTGCGCAGAAACTCCATATATGCATACTAGAAGTAACGCTCCAGGAAGAAGTATCCAGTGATCGCTGTAGCTGAATAAAACGCAGATAGAGACATTTTAACTGAGGAAACCTGAAGACAATAAACATGCGATTGCACAAAATATATGGTATCTGTGTTCTTCAAGCAATCTTGGGTATTTTTTATAAGGATAAAGTATATTTATAATGCAATGCTAATTGACATAGCCTTTATCACTGTATATAATGCTATAAAATAGTATGATTTCTGCCTTATTATTCTGCCTTGATACGAAACCACGTCTGATCACAAAAATAAGTTATTTCAAACACTCGACTATGTTATGAAGTTAATACGGAGAGCATGTCAATAAATTGAAAATATCTTTGTTGGACAACAGTAGGGCTGTGTATCACCAGCAAAGTCACGATACGATACGTATCACGATACATGACTGCACTGAATTTCACCTCAGCAGAATTTATAAAAACAGCTGTTTATTAAACACTGCTTACTATAGTGCCATTTCTAACTATTGGCAGAGCAGGCAGTTGACCTCTGCATTATGAAGGGCCTCCAGAACTGTACCACAGTACAATATAGGTAATGGTATATGTTTCATGTTTACATTGTGCACTCCCCAAGGTACAATATTCTGATTGTTTTTAAGCCCATAAATAATAATGTACTCGTTCTAATACATTTATATTGTAATGTACTCATTCTAATATGTTTAAAAAATAATTTACATTGCTGGTAGGTTATCATTGCACAAATTAACACACTCTCTACAATTAAAAAAAATTGTAGAGCGTGTGAAAATTAGAAGAGTTCTAAACCAACGCGCTGTCTTCACAGTATCTAACGCACACACTCTCAAGGCTGATTTATACTCGACGCATCCGCAAGTTCACTTTGAGTGCGTGCGACGTCGTTACGTGTGGCGGTGTGCACAACATTTTTTGTAACTTTCCGCGCAGCTCCACTTCCGAAGATGCACGAGTTCAAAGCGACTCTAGCCGAACAGAAGCAGTTTGGTGTTAAGTGCAGTCACGCACACCGATCACGCTGCGGCCGAACTCAGACATTCAGGAACAAACTTTTTAGCGCTGCCCCGCAGTTTTATCAACTAAATAGCTTAATCGCTCAAGAGCTACATTATCTTTCTCAGCAAGGAGCTGGTAGCATCATTGTTTCTAAAGGAATTAAAGCCACAACTTTACTGTTAATAGAGAAATGCGGCAAATCTGTGGTAATTCGTACATACACAGCCTCTCTCTCTCTCTGTGTCGTAAATGAACAGTTGATGAAGAATCACACTTTTCTGAGAATAGACTTGAAGTGGAGATAGCTAAACTGCAAGTTAAGCGGTGTTTTCAGAACGCAAATGCGTTTATCCACAGTGGAGAGAGAGTGCGTGAGCACAGGGTTGCCAGGTTGACAAAGATAAGTAGCACGTTTAGCAGATATTTCCGTATTGCGCAAATGTGAAGCTCTGTTTTGGGGATTACGTCTCTTTATATCAGGCAACCCAGTTGTGTTCCTCTGTGGCCAGATTATTAACAGATGCTCTATTCATTCTTTTTTAGAAACTCTAGCACTTTTCTACTCCATTTTAAACGTTGTAAAATTAAGCGTGGTCCACTGCTGCACACGTGCCACAGTATCGATACAGGGCCAGCTGTATCGATACTCATATCGTCAAATCTCTGTGACGATACATCGTCGTATCGATATTTTGAACACAGCACTAGACAACAGGTTTGTAAACGACTCATACACATGTAAAACTTGCACACGTGCTACTATAGTACATTTACTCAAGGCTCAGACCGATTTTTGTCGCACTGTACAGCCCTATCCAAACCTGTTCCAGATTGTAGAAGGAGCTGCTCAATTTCACGTCCGCCTTCCTTCACGTCACTCACACAGTCGCACACAGAAATGTCAACAACTAGACTTAATCGTTATTATCGCGGGAATGCAAATTCTTATTGTGTGGAGAATTTTTACCGGTATATCGCAAACGATTAGATATCGCCCATCCCTAGTCTGCGGCTCGTTACGGCTACACGGCCACCGGAGCTGATCGCGGCCGCTCTAATGCTTGTGTTTATACCGGCCAGCCGCGGCACTTTTCTGAAGCGGCTCACCGTGCTGCTTGGCTAAAATAGTCTTT